TTTATATTCTGCTTCCTTTTTGCATGAGGAAACTTTGACAATGCACATGTTCTCAGCATAAGGATTGTATACATTTTTCCATTACTATATCATCCACCAACATAGCCACTTTTAAAACTGGCAAAATTGAAATGCCACCGCCAAGAACAAAATTTCTCTTCCAAATCATAAAATACCTTATTTTATAAGTCATTGTTTCCTTTGTGTCAAAAGCACATCATGGCACACTCTGTTGAACAGTACATGTGTTTATTTTGTTATCCATAATTATATTTTAATTTTGCAAATCTAACATAAAAATTGACAATATAACACAATGCTATTATTTTCAGATGACTAATGACTTTCCTTTTATATAATGCTGGCCAATTTTTTTAAAAAATTACTGCAGTGTAGTGTGATCCAGACGATTACAATGGTATATTTACAACTACTTTGGAAAACAGGTGTTCATGGTAATTTCTTTAAGTAACTCTAGTATTAGAAGAGAGTTATGAACAATCACAGGACTTATCAGGGAATTTACTAGAAATTTCAACTGGTTAAAACAACAACAAACCAAGGAGTTAATAAATATAACACATTCAAAGTGGTACCTTAGTAGTATATGCAAATAAGTTCTGATTGACAAAGGTCTAATAAAGCAGAACAAGACAAGTATTATTTTGGGGGAAGCTATAAGGCTAATAACTTTTACCTTTCAAAGTTACCTTAATTTCCTAGGACTATATTTAGTTAAGTAGCTTGTTTCTGCTTACTCTTATGAGAAAACATCTGAATTCAATAAATGTTTTTAGTATCTGCAAGGTAAATGGTGTTGTGTTAGAAAAAGAGTAGCCAAATTTTGCAGTACTAGGCCACATGATCAAAAATCCAGAGATGGAAGGATGTGTAATTTAAATTAACAATAGTAGTGGAGTATATTCCCTTGTTAGTTTTTCTCAGTTATGCACTTTATTTTTAATTTTTAGCTGTACTATAGAATACATATTTCATAGAGCCTGGGGGACCTAATATTGCCAGGATTTTGACTAGCCACATTGCTAGAATTTCTAGACAATCCTTGGCCTTCAATATTCACCTCCACATGCCTCACACTTCTAAAGACTCTAACTCAATGAACTATATGATGAGGTACCCATTTTGTTATTGTTTTTTTTTCCTTAATGTATTTTAGACACAAAAACTTTCATGAAATAAGAGTACAAATAAATTACTAGGAAATGAAATGAAGCACTTACATTGCAATCCCAATTTTTATTGCCAAATTCAATAGTTATAAACATATTTTGTCAAATGCCACCAAGATTCTAAACAATTGTGATTTCTGAGCTCATCTTGCCACAGATGGCCAAGACTTCTTAGGTGGCACTAGTAGCCCTGCTCTAACCCCATGGAGATTCAGCATTTCCTGGCAGTCACAACCTTCAGTTTGTACTTACAGGCAACCGTAGAAATGTTAGGTGTTATTCCAATACATAAAAATCTATATTTCTTTTCTGAAGTTGTAACTTAACATCTATTGATACTAAACACCGGCAGATCTGTTGATATGGGGCAGTTCGGCCATGGGAAATCAGCGCAGACTGCTTGATCCTCCCACAGCACTTCAGTGGGAAGGCCTGCACTTCTCTAAATACATGAGCACATTTCCCACTGCAGTTACCAGTTAAATGTGTTCAAATGTCCTGTCACATCAGCAGGTAGTCTTGCAAACCAATGAAGAGCTGATAAACCTTCTTCTCCCAAAGTCTTTAATTACCAAAGAAAGAAAGAAAGCCTTGATCTGAAGCAGCAGCAACTCAGTTATTCTCTATTATTTTCTTTTTTTCCCTATGAACCAGTTACTAATTTTTTTAAATTTTTTATTTGTTTTAATTAGTTATACATGACAGTAGAATGCATTTGTATATTTTTATACATATATAAATGGTATATAATTTCTCATTTTTCTGAGTATACATATTGTAGAATCACCTTGGTCATATAGTCACATACCTACATAGAGTAATAATGTCTGTTTCATTCTACTATCTTTCTTATCCCTACATCCCCTGCCTTCCCCTCTTTTCACTTCCCTCTACCTAATCTAAGGTAATACTATTCTTTTTTTTTTTTTGGCATTACAATTCTTTATGCACATACACACCACAATTTTTGCATCTCTGTTTGTATATAAAGTATGTTGACACTCAATTCAAGTCTTCATACATGTACTTTGTATAATGATGTCCATCACATTTTCCACATTTCTTAATGAATTAATAAACATTTCTTAATGAATTAATTAAGAATTCCTTAAAGAATTCATTTCTTAATTCTTCCTACTTGGGCTTGATATCTTCCAAATAAACATTAAACTGGTGATGTTTAAAGGTACCATCAAGAAGAAAACTACGTTACAATCAATTCCTCCATTACATCATCCCATGAACCCGACTGCTGAATTTGCAACACAGATTTTCTGCTGAATGATGCAATGGAAGGTAGGAACAGTTCTTCAGAACTGAATACACTCTTGGAACCTATTTTTTTTTTTCATGTATTCCAGGTGTGCCGTCTGTGGAAATGAAGTCAACTTTTCCATTTTTAGTCCAAACTTCTCAAATTTCTTACTGAAAGTTGGCTAGGTAAAATAGTTTATGCATGCTTGCTAAATATGGTAGGTTATAATTTTTGGCTTATTTTCTACACCCTCAAATCAAATGAATTACAATTTCTTCACCACTCTAAAAGATGTTTAAGGTATACAAAGATCTTATAAACTATTTCCTCAGAGGTAAAGATGTTATCTAGTAGAAAGAATCAGAAGAGACTCAAGTGGAGAAAATGGCATTTGAAATATACTTTAAATAACTTTAAATTCTATATTTTTTAAAGAAAGCATGCCTTTGAATTTTTTAAAAATATCTTTATTTTTTATTTTTATGTGGTGCTGAGAATCGAACCCAGTGCCTCAGGCATGCCAGGCAAGCACGCTACCACTTGAGCCACATCCCCAGCCCTAAATTCTATATTTAGAAATATAAATATAAGAGGCAATGCAGAGCACAGAATGAAATTACACAAACAAAGAAGAAAGGCCAGAAAGCAAAACTTAAGGTAGTTTTTTCTGGGGAATGGAGGCAAGAATCAAACTGGGAAGGAGCTTGAAGGAACTTTCTAGAATTGTGGTAGTGCTCTATATATTGGTTGGAGTTTGGATTACACAGGTATATTCATTTGACAAAATTCATCAAATGATCCAAAATTTTTGCATGTCAGAGTATATAAATTTTACATCGACAAAAAAATCAAACTAATATTGAAGCACAGTTCGTGATATTCACACTGAGGTGTTTGGAGGTGAAGCATACCAATCACTAACTTATTTTAAAAATAAGTGAGGTTGAAGGATTGCTGGCAGGCAGACAAAAGGACAGAAAATGCACATGTTGCAAAATAATAATTGTGAAATCCTGATAAGTCTATCAGTGTTCATTACACAATTCTTTTTTTGGCGGGGAGGGGAGGTTCTGAGGATTGAACTAGAGGGCACTTGACCACTGAGCCACATCCCCAGTTCTATTTTTTGTATTTTATTTAAAGACAGGGTCTCACTTAGTTGCTTAGTGCCCCGCTATTGCTGAGGCTGGCTTTGAACTTGTGATCCTCCTGCCTCAGCCTCTTGAGCTACTGGGATTACATGTGCGCCACCACGCCCAGCTATACAATTCTTTTCTTATATGTTCCAAAGAAGATGATATACACTCAATCAACAAATATATAAAAACAATGTTCATCATCACTAGCAACTGGAGAAATGCAAATCAAAACTACTCTAAGATTTCATCTCACTCCAGTCAGAATGGCAGCTATTAAGAATATAAACAATAATTGTTGGCGAGGATGTGGGGAAAAAGGTACATTCATGCACTGCTGGTGGGACTGCAAATTGGTGCAACCAATATGGAAAGCAGTATGGAGATTCCTTGGAAAACTTGGAATAGAATACCATTTGACCCAGCTATCCCTCTCTTCCTGGTCTATACCCAAAGGACTTAAAAACAGCATACTACAGGCACACAGCCACATCAATGTTTATAGCAGCACAATTCACAATAGCTAAACTGTGGAGCCAACCTAGCTGCCTTTCAGTAGATGAATGGATAAAAAAATGTGGCATATATACACAATGGAATATTACTCATCAATAAAAGAGAACAAAATCATGGCATTTGCAGGAAATGGTTGGCATTGAAGAAGATAATGCTAAGTGAAGTTAGCCAATTCCAAAAAAACAAATGCTGAATATTTTCTCTGATATAAGAAAGTTGATTCATAGTGGGGTAGGGAGGGGGAGCTTGGGAGGAATAGATGAATTCTGGATTGGGCAGAGGGGTGGGAGGGAAAGAGAGGGGGCAGGGGATTAGAAATGATGGTGGAATGTGATGAACATCATTATCCAAAGTACACGTATGAAGACACGAATTGGTGGGAATATACTTTGAATAAAACCAGAGATATAAAAAAAATTGTGCTCTATATGTGTAATATGAATTGTAATGCATTCCACTGTCATATGTAAATTTTAAAAATTAATAAAAATTTATCATAATAGAATGCTGTGGGCGGTAGTTATATATAAGGAAACAAAACCAAATTTCTTTGCACTTTATGGACAGCCATCTTAACTTCCTGTGTACTAAATGACATCCTAAATTACTGTCATTACCTCTAGAATAAATTCCTGGTTATCTGAGCATCTTTGGACCACTACTCTGGGATGCTATCCACAAAAGATAGACACCTGAGACCTCTGTTTCACCCTCTTCTCCATAACCAGTCAGATGCGCTTTCCTAACCCTCCTTAACCACACTAACCTATGGGTCAGTCTCCCGTAGGTTACATACTTCATTTAATACAAAGAGCCCACTGTCCCAATCTTTTCTGGATAATCCATTCATCATATGGCTTGTGATGAGTGCAATCTGGCTCCTGCTCATCTGTCCAAACTTACCGCATACTAACATGCTCCAGTCTCAGCAATTTTCATAGTTCAGTACTTTGACACATTCTGATTATTTTGTCTGGAGAGTTTTGTTCTCCCCTGCTCACTGCCTACCTTTTTTCTTTCCACAAGGTCTGGAATAGTGGTAATCTGTGTTTTCCCTATAAAATCATTTATCGCTTCATTCTATAATTATCTGTGTACATGTCTCACCCACTGGAACTTGTGAACTTCCAGAAGAAAAAGTCTGTTTCTTACTCATTTTTAAAACTCCCAAATGCCCTTAGATAGTAATGCTTAAAACATTCCTGTTGAATAAATATTCAAATAATCACACTGAGGATATGAAACCTGAAAAGACCAACAACCTAACAAAGAATCTAAGAAAACAATACTAATAAAATAATAAGAGATGTTGTCAGAAGAGAAAGCAAGGTAAATAAAGAATGCAAGGTGGGGGCATGTATGAGGCACTGGGTTCAATTCTCAGCACCACATATAAATAAATAAAATAAAGTCCATTGACAACTGAAAAAGAAAGAAACTGCAAAATTTATAGATTATAAGTATGAATATATAATATATAAGGTAGCATATCTCTGGAAAACAAATGATTGAATCTAATGAACAGTTCTATGCTTTGGGGATGAAGAGGCCATGTTAAGGATAAAATATTTTACAGGCATCCGTGACAGTATTGTACTGTTAGATCCACTGATTGATTGAGACAATTAGTATGAAAAAACAATACTATCTATACAGGAGCACAGAACCAAAAAAGCACTATTTGAATGAAATCTTAGAAGTTTATTTGTCTCACAAAATCATAGGCAGTTCAGGGCAGGCAGCATGGCTGCCAAATATCATGAATATTAGAGTTTAAAAAGTTCAGCTTCCAACATGTGGTACCTATACACAATGGAATATTACTCGGCCATAAAAAAGAATGAAATTATGGCGTTTTTTTGGTAAATGGATGGAACTGGAGACTATCATACTAACTGAAATGAGCCAAAAAACAACAACAAAAAAACAACAACAGCCAAATGTTGTTCTCTCTGATATGCAGATGCTGACTCATAATGGTGGTGGGGGGGGGGGGGTTCACCATACTGGACGGGGTGGAGTGGGTGGAAGGGAAGGGGAGATGGTAATGGGAAATACAGTAGAATAAATTGGACATAAATTTCCTATGCTCATATATGAATTCATGACCAGTGTAACTTCATATCATGTACAACACAAAAGTGGGACTTTATATTCCATGTGTGTATGTCAAAATACATTCTACTGTCATGTTTATCTAAAAAGAACAAATTAAAAATTCTTTTAAAAAAAGAAAATAATTCAGTTTCAAATTGTGGCTTATCTAGTTACTAACTATGTGACCTGGGATTGGTTATCTGATCTCCGTAAACATCAACTTTCCAGAAGTAGAACGCAACATTTCTGTGTACATTCTACTGACCAGAATTTAGTTACATAACCACATTTGGCTGCAGGGGAAGCTAGAAAATGTAACCTTTATTCTGGAGAGTAAAGAGTCTAGTACCTATTATGAAAAATGAAAAAAAAAATGGGGTAAGGGAGCTACAAATCTCTGCCACACTCTTTGTCTAAAACTAGACAGTTTATGGATGAGAACAACACTTTCACACTTCAGAAAAAGAAAGGTAAATGTATGTTCAAGGCAGGGTAGTTATTTGATTGTAGAGGATGCTTGATTGAGCATGTGAGCTTAAGGATCTAGTCACAAACTGGTCTCAATGGAAAGCTTCCCTGAGCTCCAAGGCAGTCTGGATGATGTTAGGTTGGAAAGGTTTCATGGAGGAGATGATCTGGGCCTGGAAGAATGTGCAAGATTGTGAAATGGATGGGAAAGGGCAACTGAGACCAAACTCAACAGCAAAGGCGGGAGCCAAGCAGGGTAGTTTGGCTGGACCAGAAGGCATGTGGAAGTACTTTACAAACCCCAAACAGGATGAATGTCATCTTTATCACAAGAGAAATATTGGGAGGTAAGGTTAAAGAAGGTTAAACAGTTATAGAAAAGTTTGAATGCTAAAGGCATTTGACATTCTGGCTCCCCCAGTTATTAAACGTGTAGCCAAAGTTCACCCCTGTGAACTTCAACTTCCTCATCTGTGAAATGTGGGTCATAATAAGCAGATAATAAGGTTGTGTAACATGGTAATTTTTTTAAAAGAGCTAAGAGCAATCTGGTAGCTAGGGTCAGAGGATGGAAAAAAGAAAAATCTAAAGGTAGAGCAAAGCAGTAGCTGGTCACCAGTACAGTTCATGAACAGGAGTTTGCATTTTATGCTTTAGACAAAGAAAAACTGGAGTTGGCAAAGGGACTATTGAAGACAGGGATATCAGTTAGGACCACTGCCAAGGTCCAGGCCAGGGATAAAGGCCTGAAATAAGACAGTAGCCATCAGGATGGAAAAAAAGATCTAGCTATGAAAGAAACTTGGTGAATGATTACAGGCAGGGGAGGAAGAAAGGCTCTTGTTTGAGTGACTGAATGACCAGGACCCCCATTAACCAAAATAAGAAAAAGAGAAGGAAAAAGAATTGGGAATCAGGAAGAGAGATAAAAGTTCTGTTGAGGTGATGTAGGGACACCCAGATGATGCCCAATAGCACTGGCTATACAGAAGTGGCATCAAAAGCGGTATCTACGCTAGAGGTATGAGACTTGAAAGTGCCAAAAAAAAAAAAAAGGAACTCATGCAGAGAAATCCTGAAGAATAAAAAATCCTGAAGAAGGCCAATACTTTCATGAGAAAAAAAAAAGAGAAGCTAGAAAGAAGGAATAAATGAAAGATTAAAGAACTGGGAGACAGTGGTGTTAAAGAAGCCAAGGGGGTGGGCTAATAGATTCTTCAAGCTGTGCAAACTGGGTCAAATGCCTGAAATAGCGAACTGCTCAAACATCAAGGGGTATGTTACTGAGTGCTCTTCAGAGAGCTTGTGCTGGAATCCTAGAAGAAAGGATCAGCTGGCTCCAGAAATGTTCACCTCCTACTGGAACAAAGAGCAGTTCAGGCTTAAGGCCTGAAGAAGCTTTAAATTTTTTCCCCACTAAACAGAACTCTGCCAACATGGCCAGAAGATGGGAGGAATATCTGACTAACTCTGTACCTCTACCTTGGTGTATGTGTAGGGTGGGGGTGGGGGTTCCTCTGCCTCTCTCCCTTTCTCTGTCTCAACAGCAAAGATCTGTAAAGGTCAAAGTGGAAGCTGCCAACCCAGGAAGACAGCCCTCCCTCCTCTCTAGTTCTTATCCCTCTAGGACTGCAATCATTCATGCTTGTTGAATAAAAAGCCAAAAGCAAATATGATAATCAGCCAACAAGAGAAATAAGTGCTGGAGGACATAAGCAAATAACAGAAGTGGTTAGAGCTCTTGGATTCAGAGTCAGACCTTAGTAAGAATTAGGCTTTGCTATTTCCTACCCGTGTGTAATTTGGGGCAAGTCCCTTAAATATACAATAGGAAATACAGACGAACCCATACTGAAGATAGCATGTGTCTAAATGATGATGTGTATAATTTGGCAAAATACTTATTATTACTCAACTTCTCCAGAAGTCTGAACTAAGAATAATAGCTAAAAAATTTGAAAAGGAATTATAAATTAATCACTATCAGTCAATGCTACTTACTAATGTTTACTGCAACCAGGAACTGTGCGTCACATCACAACAAAACCATGGAAATAAACCCTACCTCTCACGGAGACGCTAAAGAGTTCAGAGAAATGAAGTGAGATCATTTATGTGAAAGAACTTTAATAATGATCAAAATTCATCAGACGAAGTAATTGGCTCCTTCTAAAGAATATAAGAAGGTCTTGTACCCAGTTTTCACCACTGTTACTAAATCAAAGCTTCTACTAGGAAAAAAGGAAAAGCACACAGCTTTCATCTATGATACAATATCTCATATTGGGGAAAAAAAAGCAAAAATAAATAGCCCCTTTAAAATTTACTTACAAATTCTTCTTCTGTAATATCTGGTGGCTCTGAAACAAGATAAAATATTACATTATCTCACTCAAATCTGATTTCCTCTTAGAGTAAATGAAATAATCGGAGACAGCGCCCAGCCCTACTTTATACATGGGTAAGCTCTGTAAAATTTTGGCCCTCTGTTCATTCTCTGCACATGGATTGAATTTTAAGTTGGAATTCAAGGTGGAAGTGGGGAGGCCAGGCCTCTGGAATCCAGCTTGGTCACTAATTCACTGTGACCCTGGAGTTAACCTTCCTCCACGGAGGCCTCCGTTACTCCAGCTGCAAAATGGAGAGTTAAGCAAGATAAAGCAACTCGGTGCCAATGTAAACGGGGGAGGAGGTGAATTTCCTAATAAAAGCAATGCGAGGGCGGTGAAGCCAGATTTCCGACCGTCAGGAAGAGGGGACGCCTGGGCGAGCAGTAACCTCCAGCGTCCTGCGCGAGGCGCGGCCCGGCTCCGCGTCTGGCCCCGGGGCGAGCCGCGCACCTACCCGCGGTGAGCCGCTTCTTCGGCATGCCGCCGCGCGCGCCGTCGGGGCCCGCTGCAAGGTGCCCGCTCCCGCCAGAGCCGTCTGCTGGGGAGCGACGCCGGCCTGCGCGCGTGTCCCCGCCGCGCCCGGTTGCTATGGCGCGAGACAATGCGGCCGCCGCACGCCGCGCTTCCCCGGCTCCTGCCTCTGGGCAGCCCCCCGGGAGCGGGCCCTGGAGAGCTGTCGCCCTTAAAAGACGCTTGGAGCCGGCTGGTTGCCGTGGAGACCCGGGCTCAGACCGGGGCTCGCTCAGCAGGACCCCGCCCGCCCCGTCCAGGGAACTGCGAAGTCCCCGACTAACGACAGGCCGGCTGGTCCTGAACCAAGGAGGACGCAGGCGTCTTGATGGAGCAGAAGGCGTTCAGCACACAACATCTGTAGAAAAAAATTAAATACCCACCGGCTTTGGGAACCAGATCCTTCCCCGCACCTTTTCTCCAGTTAGGGCTGCTGCACTTTC